TACTTGCTGCTAGTAAGATCTGCTGAACATGATACCAGTGATATTTAATTGTATCCAGTGAGCGATAACTCAACCTGCAAGTCAGCGTACTTCGATACGCATTCCGAACAGCTGGGGGGGGGGGAACGGGACGATAGGGTTGAAAAAGCGTGAGAATAACAAGGCGAGAGGGCTTGACTAGTAGCATACAAATCCCTATCTATCCTGCTCGCTGCAGCAGATAGGGCGTTATTAGCCTCTGCCACCACTAGAGAATCAAGAAATCGCTTAAGGAAAGGTTGATAGGTGGTGGAGATGGGCAAACCCCACGAGCTTTTGCTATAGGGCTCGTGACCTCATCTTCTGCTCAACAGACGCTAATACAACTGCCTGGATACTTGGCTTTCTGGATTACTTCTAACTGATCACTGTTAAGGGTCAGTGCAGGGGTGGATCGGTGAGAATTTTGGAGAAGGAATTTACATTTTGACCGTGCAAAGCATATCCAGAAACGACTGACAGTCAGTGCCGAATTGTCCACTGCTACTGGGCACCTTTGGGGACTGCAGCAAACAAGGGCAATGTCGTCGACATACTCCAAGTCAAAACGTAGCTCACCTAGAGGCAGCACCATACCTTGTAGGCCGCATCCAGTGAACGCAGTTTCTATGACTTCGTCAATGTCGAAGCTAAAAGAGGCGACAACGGACAACCTTATCTTGCACCGCTGGAGATGTTGAAGGGAGGCGACACCTTGCAATAAACCCTCAGTCTGTCCGAATTATGCGCGTGCAGTGCTTTTATAGTATGTATGTAGATATCAAGCAAACTTTTTTTGTGAAGACAGCCTCAACTTTGATGTCAAGGAATATGACTAAGGTGGGTCACCAATAAATATGGCGGTGCTCAATACAGACTCCATTTGGACGAAACACGGCTTGCTCCTCACGAAGGTGAATTTCAGGGGTGCGAGCAAGTCTATGGAGAATGACAGAAGTAAATAACTTAGAGGGTGGAGATAAGATCGATCCCATAACGACTGCAGCATTAGGAAAATGCTAAGGTCATAACGATGCGGCTTCTGTCAGTTAGGGAAATCTCCTGCTCCTACAGTTGTGCAAATAATTTAGGAGAGCTGTTCGCTAGAATGTGAGGAGGGTTGGAGGAGATCTATCTGATGCTCCGGTCACATTCAATTTCAAAAGTCAATAAACTCTCATTGATAAAGTTCATTTCAGTTGGGCCGAGCAGCGAAGTGCGGTGGATAAGGTTGCTATGACTCACACCGTAAGAATGACAATAAATAACAACGAAAAGCCAGTTGGTTTGGGTGCGAATAGAATGTAGAGAAAATGGTACTGTGATGGAAATGCGTTAGACTAATCAGAATGGAAAGAAAATTAACTGACAGATAAAAGAAACCGAATGCAGGAACTCCACTGACTTTGTGACCGCAGATGTCTGACACGGTCTCCAACCATTGGTGTGGACCATCCCGAGGCCCCCATCCACGAATACGGCACGCACCAGCCTGACCAAGTCTCTCAATCATCTTCTTCATCCCGCTATGCTAAGTCATGGAGTGGTCACCTGGAGGTTTCACCTAACTTGGTACAGCAGCGGCGCATAATGCACGCCTAGGAAGCCTATAAACTGTAATACGGAGGACATGGCCTGGCCAACGCAAGCGACTAAGATTCAGCAAACACTCGAATGAGGCACAAGAAGGCCTCTTGTCAAAAACCAACTGGCGGACCTCAGCGTCGCTTATCCAGTGTTCCAGCCAGACGTGAGCAATACACTGCAAGCACCGGTGGTCAAACACGGCCAAGCGTTTAATGTCTTCGCCGCGAACTGACCAGGTCTCTGATCCATACAGTAAGATCGGCCTTACTGCAGCGTTATGCTTCCTAACTTCCACTGACAGGCTGGTATCACGCCTTCTCGATATATGGTTTAGTCTCTGAACTGACACAGGAGCCAAGCTGGTAAGGGAAGTAACCTCCGCAGTGATGTGGCCACCAGAGGTGACACAGATACTAAGGTAACTGAACCGATCCACCACTATCAGTGGGTGTTGGCTGACAGCTAATACCGGTGCCGTATGAGTTCAGTCCTGCCACAGTGCCTTGCATTTTGAAAGTGTAAAGCACATGCCGAAGCGTGCAGCGCTACGCACAAGTCTGTGCAGTAGTGTTTGCACAGTCACTACGTCAGATCCTAGGAGAACTGTCACCCGTGTACTCAAAATTTGTCAGTCGGTCAAGTGGCAGAACTTCCACTTCGGAACAGTCTGAAAGAACCGAGTCATACAAGGTCATTTCGACCACAAAGTAGAAGAGAAAAGAAAATATAACACGATCCTAGCGAACTCCAATTTTAGTAGGGAACTCACGAGACAGCTTTCCGTAGACTCTTACCCGGTCTTGGAGTAACGCTAGAAAGGCATAAGAATGGAAAGGAGCTCAAGTAACATGCTCCTCATGGATAGGCAGTGCCACAAGCTGGAGCGGTCACTAGAGTCGAAGGCAGCTTTCAATTCAAGATAAACTACCATAGTCAGTCGTGCGTATAAAAAATTATGTGGTCGATGCAACCACAACCAGGGCGGAATTTAGCTTGGACCTCAATGATCCGGCTCTCACAAAGAATGATACCCATGAGAAGCTTAGAAACAACGGAAATAAAGCCAATGCCTAAGTGACTTTTGCACAAAGATCCTTGAAACCATTTCAAGATGTAAAGCAAAAGTTGACAGTCATTAGTCTGAAAACATCTTCCGCCTTCAAATGCTGTTGAAAAGAACACCATGCCCAGTCACCACCATCTTTCAGCAAAGATGGAGGGAGGTCGTGGAGTCTAGCATTCTTGTTTCGTTTAGGCACGGCAAATTTATGCCGAATCTTTTTAAAGGTGGAGGTATAACATCGACTTCAAATGCTCTTCAAAAGGTTCTGCCAAAGGAGCCAGTCAACGCTACAGTCTCAACCAGTGTTCCGGATGAGCTGAAACCGTACTAGACAGTTCCCGACGACAGTCACTTTCTCAATCTCACGAACCTTTGTTATCCACCAACGTTCCATCTTATTGTCCATTCACGGAGTTTCGGACATAATGAAACTCAATGTGTCCGCGTATTATAATACAGTAGATATCCACGAAACCATGGTAGAAACCTGAAGAGAATAACGCATTAGTAGCAGCCAAAACAGACGACTAAGTATGTAGCGATTGCATACAACAAGAACGTTTTTGAACTAGCAACAGAACTACTACAACCACACGGAATCACGGTGGCACACAAACCAAATGCTACCGTGATTTTAAGACTGAAGGACAAAATCAAAAAATAAAACCCATCTACCAGATAGACCGCAGCGAATGTGATAAGCACATCGGACATACAAAAAGAAAGCTTTTCACATGGAACACAGAACATAAGAAGGTCATACGAAGGCATGATCCCTATTCATTGGTTTCCATGCACGAGGATGAAACTGGTCATCGTCTTGACCTGGAAAACGTTAAGATTCTAGCACATGGAATAGGAAGGAGGCAAGAAAATCCTTAGAAGCACGGCATTCCACGAACAATTCGATCAATCGACGTGTTGAATTGGACGTCATCTATGCAAAGCTATGAACAAGGAAGTTCCACTGCATTGGAATACACCCAATGGAAGAGGACACTATATGAGCAGCCCAGGCAACATTCAGCAGCGGACACATAGGTCGAAGGGGCCGTTTCCAAAGGTCCCCTGTCTAGATGACCAATGACGATGATCTATAAAAACGCACACATACGACTGCTCGGTTTACACCTATATACGTTTCGCTACACACTAACGCACTGATGATGTCACCTCCACTGGTGACGAGATGTTTGCAACAAAATTGTACAGCTCAACGAACAGTTTAACAGCTGCAACCTTCCCTAGATATTGTAGAGAAAAGCTTTAAAATGTCCATCGAGCATTTCGGTGTACCACTGATTCACAAGCTGCTTCATGCACTGTTAGCAAGCTTCAAATGCTACTAATTTTAGCGATGAAAGGTATAGAGTAAGTCACGAGACTTTCTGGTCAGTATGGCGAGGTATGGAGGAGTTAAGTGCATCGCTAGCATAAGTTGCGAAGTTAGAGGTGGTTTCTTGAGTTATTGGGAACACTTCTCAAAGGAACCAAGAACAGCGCTGGTGATGGGGTTATGTATGCTCTCGATTTGCGTAATCCTAGAAAAATGTTTATTCCAAGAGACGTACCACGAGCCTTTAAATCAGCAACCTGGTTCATGGAGCTGTGGAGGAAAAGGTTCGGCTAAGGAGTGTGATTGGAGTCCTACTGAGATAGGCTGGAACTGTATCATCTGCAGACTTGGAGGAATCAGTAGGATGTTAGTGCTATCGGATGAATCAGTATAAACTATGGGAGTAAAAGAAGGTACAACCCGATTTCTGAAACAGTGAACAAAGACTGATGCAACAGAAATCGGAAAACATTATGCTAAGTCAATACGTTCGGAAGCAAAAAAACTGATTTGTGGCTAAATTCGCATCTGCGTTCCGGATTAGTAGACCAAGTGGGGTTGAAAGCGAGACATTCAGAAGGGCATCAAAAGCGCATCGGTAAGCTACGATAAAAAAAGATTGTTCCTGAAAAATAATGTGAGTTGCTATGATCAAATGAACACAAAAAATTTTGAACATAGCCGGAAATAGGCTTACAAAGATGGTTAGGTGCATAGACATTACAATTGCAAAACCCTACTTTGATTTTGTAATCCATAGTCTTCGTAAAATACACGCTTATTTTCGATGTAACAAGTTAAAGTAAACTATTCCAGAATTTTTGAGCCGAAAGATGATTTCTACAAGAATCATTGGCTAGGTGGAAATAAACCTCGATCATCCTAAGCACAAACGCGGCATGCAAAGTATATGGATACTGACCAGAGATATGATAAAAGTAAAACGGTCGAAATAACCAACATGAAGAACGTCCGCAGTGAAGCGCTTGCTTCCATTCAACTAACCGTGAAGAAAGGTCGGAAGAGGTTAGGCGAACGGGTCCCAAGTCCAACTGTTGACAATGTGGTGAGTGGAGAGCTCGCGTCACTGTCATGCACACCGATAGTATGATGGCTCAAACCGAACACAGAAGTTAGAATGGACGGCGTCGACTTGGCCGACTCAGGTAGACCCGTCATGGGAGACAGAGAAGAGACAAGCACATCCACAAGTTGTCGATTAGACCGAAGTAAAGGGTTAGTGGATCCTGCCAAAAAGCCTCGGACACACCGATTAATGAGTTGTGTGCGCGAAAGCGGATGATTGAGAAACGTCGAAGAGTCATCAGATAACGGCTCCAGCAACATGTCCAAAATTCCCAAGGGAGCAAAAATCGGAAGAAGGTTGGACTAAAAAGTAAAGACAAATATGGCAGAATGATAAAACAACTCAATCCAATGAAACAATGAACAGCAAGTTTCCCAATGAGATTTACAAGCGAAAAGAAAACAACACAGGTTATGGTTAAATGCTGTCCGATCATAAAACGAGCGCAGAATAATGCAACATCTTGTACGAAAAGTGTGTCCAGAGGAGCAAAAACAAGAGCTTAAGTGGAGTGGTGAAGCGACTTGGTGAGTAAAGAACAGTCCCCAGTACAACTACCGGCCGGTAGCCTTAAGGAACACAAGCCTGCATTGTATTCCGATGGCGCGGTATTGAGCCTACGTAGGGATTGGGCGACCGTCTCAGTATCTTTAGCCCGCGTGCGACCGGCAGTGGTTGCGGTACTGCCTACCGGCGGACTGCTGTCTCTCTTTCTCAGTACAGCTAAATCAAGTTATTTCTCAACAATACACGATCACGGTGATACGAACACAGAGGATGGGTAAATGTGCAATAATATTATAAGTAGTATTGTCATATCGAATCTATGTGTATATCTGTATGACTGCAGATATAATTCAGCACTGGAGAAAGCACTTCGACTGTCCCTTTAACAACTATTTACAGATTGATTGGACCACGTTACACGGGTTGCAACAGAAAGAGATGCAAGTGTTTTGCAGACACACCAACGCCGGATAAGACAAGGGCAGCACTTGCTCCGCTGCGAAACGGCAAGTGCACCGGATCCGATGGGAGACGGCCAAAAGTGCTGAAATACGGCGGACCCGCGTTGATATATGCGCAGCACCTCTTGGTGCAACGCGTGTGGTGTGAAGTAGAGGTGCCGGCTTATTTGAAGGATGCCCTTGGGCTACCACTGGACAAGCGTAAAGTGTGCTACGAAGTATCAACTTGTTGAGTTGTGTGGTGAAATTGATCGCCCGAATCCTACTCAACCGAATCGTTACTCGGGTAGTTGGACCCCAACTGGCGGAACAGCAATGCGGTTCCCGTTAGGGCCGCAGCACCATAGATATGGCATTCGAGGCTCGTCAACTAGGGGAGGAATGCCGATAGCTACATCAGCTGCTGTACTCGTTTTTTGTCAACCACCAAGACATTGTGGCTGTGGCTGGTGTTGGGTAAGTTTGGTTATCAGAGTAAATTCTTGGTCCAATTGAATGTTTGCACATTGGTATGCGGGCGAGAGTGCAACTGAGAGGAGAAACCTTGGATGACTTTGATGTTGTCTCTGGTGTGAAGCAAGTCAGTGTCTCAGCCAGCGCCCAAAGGATGTGAAGAAATGTGAGTTTGGTGCCCGTGATTACGTTGTCTGTGTGGTGCACCGTATGGATAGTGGAATGCTGAATGCCCGTGGTTTCTGTGCGAGAACTCTAGTGTGTGCAGCTTGCCGACAAATGCGCGTTGTTTTCATACAACGCGGATGAGTTGCTGCACATGACTACGGCTCTCGCTTCCACAGCTGCCAAGTTCGAACTCACTGACAACACAAACAAGACTGTTTGTCATTTACAGCTTTCCCCAGAAACGGAAAATGTAAGCTTGCCGTAAATCCAAACAGAGCACGTTTTGGAAACCAGCTCCAGATTTTGTTACCTGGGAAGCATACTTTCTACAGACCTGCAGATGAGGAGCGAGCCGCGCATGAGCGTATCGAAGGTGGAAAAACGGATGTGGACCGATCTCCAACTGGCCGCGGATACTGTATCGGTCGATGGTGGTGTCCGTTCTTCTTTATGACAATGAAACTTGGACGCTGTAGCAGAAAGACGTCCGCATTTGGAGCAAAATCATCAGCAGTACCTGCGTCGGATTCTGCACATCGGTTGATGCGACAGGGTTGCAGAAAGGGAAGTGATGCGCCACAGTGGCAGGTATGCAGTGGACTATACACATATGTTGCGGCATCTGAGGTGGCCAGGACATACCAGACGTATGGATTCAAAGGGGATACCCAAGCGGTTGATACATGAACAACTTGGTGGAAGGGAAAAGCATATGGGAACACCGAAGCCAACGTTATCAGGACCTGCTAAAGCTGAATTTATCGCGAAGTAACAGTGATTTTAGGTGTTGTGAATGAAAAGCAGTAGATAGGAGCGAATGCGACGGCATATCAAGAAGGAAGTTGTCCACGTGCATGAGAGAGCGCTATTGCATGCGGGAAACGCCGAATACGAAAGCGACAGGCACCGATGGAGGATATCCCATCGTCGGGCGTGTGTGGTGCTGTACCACATGCAGTCGTGAGTGCCAGAATCAAGATGCCCGGTAAGCCAACAAAATTAGCAGGCGAGACAAAAAGAGGAGTCTGCTGATTAGGTAAGCATCAGCGCAGCGCTTGGTACGTATAATGATACCATTTCCGTTTACTAACGCAGGCCAATAACATGGTCGATGCGCAGCGTGCCCCTACTTATCACCGCGGAAAGTTTGTACGAGTGCGTTCGATTCTTTTCAGCACTGCAGGTTTTTGTTGTTGATTGTTTCGCATTACAGTAGATCTGAATGAAGCCAATCATTTTTTTGTCTGTCGCCAGTTTACAATATGTTTTATAGGCTCGATTCTGACTGATTACCCCATATTCTCTGTTTATTCACATTGTTCGCTTTCTTTTTCTTTCATTACCGGTGCTAGTCGGTTCATAAGCCTGGACTTACACTAACAGTTGACCAAGATCACCACTACGCTAAATCAAACTTAGCATACATATTTTATTTGCGACAATCTGTAATTGTGCCGAACATAAAACAACAGCAGTACATCAGCCATTTGAACTGATGCTTCGCTGCCATACAACCATGAGACCTATGAAATAAAGAATAATAAGAGGGAGAGAAGGGGACTTACCTGAAAACCTTAATGCCCTAAGCAAACATTCAGGATCAAGGCGCCTACACCTTGTGTTAACAACATACCGTCACAAACAGCTGGCTATCGTGCAAAGATAAGCCGGTATCAGTGAGACAGTTTCCTTGCGGATTTCACTGCCCCGCATCATAATCAGCCATTAACCCGAAGATAACTCAGCACCAAACATACATTAAACAGGCAAATCCGACTAGCAGACGGCAGCAGACACACCACCGGTGCCGGCTGC